GAGGACTTTGAAATGACGAACCGGGGCGAATCGTCATGTATGAGTGAGCCCTCGGTTTTACTCGCAGAGGAAGAGTGTGGGTTTTAGATAGCTGGTAAGCCAAGCCTTAAAAGGACTATAAAGTCAAATAACAATTCACCTCAGAGGGAAAGCTCAATATAAGACAACGTCTAAAACGACAATATTATCAACAAAAGTGCCCTATTGAAGAAAAATTAAGGTAAATGCACAAGAACACATACGCCTCAGTAGGACAATCTCAAAATTATCCCGATGACATCAGGCGAACCGCCTACATTTAATTACTAGTAATCAATCTAGACGCTTAAATAATAAAACCTTCCGTTCATCAAGAGACGCAATAAATCTTCTTGATCGTTTCTGTTCAAATAATTGAGCGATATGTGGGGTTTAATGTCCCAAAACCACCATGTGATTATAAGAGACACCGTAGTGGAGGGCTCCGGAAATTTCGAACACCTGGGGTTCTTTAACGTGCACCCAAATCTGAGCACATAGGCCTACAATGTTCCCACCTCTATCGGAAATGCTGCCGCCGCAGCTGAGATTTGATCCCGCGACCTGTGGGTCAGCAGCCAAGTACCTTAGCCACTAGACCACCGCAGCAAGGTTTCTGTTTGAATAATGCAAAAAAGAACTGCTGCACGTTACTAATGGGGAATGGCACAAGTAGTTCAAAAATTTCATTTCTGCTTGATCAAGCTGGACAGGTCGTGCCATCTAGCGAGGCCCAGCTGTACCAAAATAAGTCTAATCTCGCGGGAAATTGATGAATGGCTCTTGTTGCTGCTGTGGCTCCTGTTGCTTTCGGTCTGCTGCTACTAGCGCAGTGAAGCCGGACAACATTGTGCATGGCGATAGTGATGTGAGTCATTCCAGTCGGTCCTCTTCTTGAGGCGGGTTAGTTTAAGTGCGCTAACCTGATGCGGAACACTAAACGTGATTTTATTTCAAAATAGGCCTTTCCTTGGGCGAAAAGTACACTCCGAGGTTTCTGCACCGCTATTTCAACAATCGGCATAGACTTACTAGTTGCCTTTAGTGTCCCTTTAAATTTCATCATTGCTTCACACATTTCATGATATGGACAGTTAGGTGCCCAAGGTTAATATGGCTCAGAAGGTCCTTGTTTGAGCATGCACTGTTGTTTCATGTCTGGGGGTGTGCCCAATTTCCAATGATCAATCAGTTGCAAGTCTAGTGCTTGTCCTGTTTAGTTGTTCTTTTTCGCTGTCTTTGTGAGATTTTTTGCTGGCTCTTTTTTCTATTGCAGGATGATGAAAGTTGCGACTTTTTAACTCCTCATATGTAAAATAAGTGGAGTATTTACTAACTGGTAAAGAAATAATAAATGTTTTGATATGAGAAATATTAGCTTATTAATATTTTCGGTAGTTTGGTATGTGGTAGATTCAGATATTTTTTCCAGTCTCGTGAAATCCGAGCTAACGAGCTTTTTAACATAGTCATGCGAAAAAGTAGAATTTGTGCTCGTATGTTTATTCGAGTAAGTGCCTGGAACATTATATGATGCTTAGCTTACTTATGTTCTATTCAATCATTTTTTTGTCACTGAAGTAGTTTAGAAACAATAGTGGGAAATGTGTAAAAAGCGCGAGTACGCAGAATTTATTTCTTTGGCATTTCTCATAATGTGCCAGCATTCCTGACCACCGAACTGTGATATTTTTATCCTTTCTCAATGATTTGTTTCCCTTTTTTCATTTTTTTTGGAGTTTGTTTCCTATTAACCTTGCAAACTCGTATTTTATTTCTTATGCTGCATGCGTTGAATGACAAATTTTTTTTTGGTTACAGTGTAGTACTTTATAGGTGTTTCTATGTGGAAAAAAGTGCAATAAATGTTCCACTGAGCTGGTGCCTAATCTATTAGCTTATTATGAATAAACGTTGTTATAAGGTATAGTACCAAAATTACATCGATATTGTATTCGTGCACATTTACTGGAGGTCTCTTCATGTGTTAGACATAGTATGTACAAAGAGAGAGGGAAACTGTTTGTAACCATGTCGTCATTGCGCTGTTATTGCTCCAGCATTATGTGGCTTGCTTATGCGAAGGTGAATATGTATCTCTTCTACAAGGGCAGTAATCTTTCTTCATTGCCTAGTGCTCTTGTGTAGTTGCACACAATGCATGTAAGGTTTTCATTGCCTCTTTTTTGTCTCTGTGGTTTTGCAGGTTCCTTGTCTTCGGCCTCCCGTGAGGCGTATCATTCACTTGTGGCCGTACGAGGCAGACTGCATTCGTGTCGTCAGTGCAGCTATGCGACCAAGAACAAGGCCTTCATGCATAGACACCTCTTCAAACACACGGGCGAGCGCCCCTTCCAGTGCCACCTGTGCCCAGCTGCATTTTCTCGGAAAGCGAACGTCAAAAGACACATTCGTACGCACACAGGAGATCGTCCATTTTCCTGTGACCAGTGCAGTGTGTCATTTTCACAGAGGGGGAGCCTCATTAGGCACATGCGCACCCACACAGGAGAACGTCCCTTCTCTTGCAGACACTGTAATACATCATTTTTACGGAAAGACCATCTTGTAAAACATGTGTACTGTCAGCATACAAGAAAGTCAACATAAAAAGCGGGTTGTGTGCAGGTACTTTCTTCATCGAAGATGGAACCCAAGGTTTTTTTAATCCATAGTACAGTTCATTGAAACTTTTCAACTATTTGCATAACTTCCTATGCTGATTTGAAATATGTAATCGGTTTTTTAGGGATTTGCATAGCTTTGTTTTGTACCATGACATTGTGTAAAATAACTATTTTTTCACGAACATTTTCTATAACAAAGCATTTTAATAATAAGTCATTAATGGCTCGTATTGCTTTGCATAAACGGTGAAATGCAAATAACTAATCAAGAAAGTTGGTGTAGATTATATATAACGTAACAAAAAAATTTGAAATGTGAGAAATCTTGACATTGTCAGTCCATACTAATTGCTTCTTTTAAGTTAATAATTAAGTAAATGATACATTTAAAATATTATATTTGTATTCTTCACATGTTAAGAAATATGCGGGAATTATTTCATTCTTATCTGGCCATCAGTAGTAGCAATAGCATTATGTCCACAATCTCGAAAAGTTCCCTAAAGTTGTATCAGGAGCCAAATGCATTTAAAATATAGAAATGAACGCTGATCTGTGTGGTCTATGTGATTTTTAGAATGATTTCTTTCATTATGAGAGCTAGGGAATGATTAATGATATCTGACAGGCAGTCATGCCAATAGATATTCTGTCAGATCTCATTAATATTGTGTCTAACAATAAAAACGAGCATTTGGTGTTGAAATGGTATTAATAATATCGCTGTTTTTTTGCAAACATTCTGGGTGTATTCATGCTCATAGCAAACCTATTATGATAGCACACGGATTGCTAATGTGCAAGAAAGGCAGATATCAAACCTTCTATGTCAATATTGTAACTTTATTATTTTTATTTGTGCATGTTTAGATGCAGCATCGTGTGCCCCTTTAGAATGACATTATATTTAGCTGCAGTGATTGATCGCGATAATGCACATAGATTTTACACTTTATTGCTGCTTTGCAGGCAATGTAGCCTTCATGTCACTAAATTTTGTTACATGGTAAAATCAAAAACCAGTGGAATGTAGTGTATTGCCTTTGCAATTTTTGTTGCCCAACCTTTGCGTTTGAGCACCGAAAACTGTCTGGCCTGTCTTTCTCTGAATCCTTTGCAATCCTGTTGGTCCTGTTAATATTTAATGGCAAAGAGTTTTACAGTGATGTGAAAGTTGTGACAAACTGTGCCGAAAGACCGATCCTGCTGTATTCTAATACATTTCCACTATTCTGTGTTGAAGATACGGCAAACATTGGTTTTCATATTCCGAAAACGAAACCACAATCTTTCAAGGTTCAAGCCCCTATCATGTGTCTACCCTCACATAAACACTCGTGCACAATCCTCTGCAGCCTTATCAGTCCTGTTTATTTTGACGCGATAGCATTAAAGAGTTGTGTCACAGAAATAGTGGTGTCGGCATCGTTGATTGTGAGTGAAAAATAATCATGTGCGTGACCGAAAAATCCAGAAAGATGCAAACAAAAAATTCGGCATATCCCACATTCCTTGTAAATCGACGTTGTGGGAAGCATGTGGAGAAAAGGTGACCATGTTGTAAGTTTTTTATTGAGCGATGTCTTCTGAAATAACACAAAATATATATATAAGTGTTGCACGCACACAGACATTGTTGAAGAGTTACAGATGTTTACAAAACCGGTTGTTTGTTCTTGCACGACGAGCCCCGTTGTGGTGGTCTAGTGGCTAAGGCATGCAATGGGGCTGCTGACCCACAGGTCGCGGGATCGAATCCCCGGCTGTGGCGACTGCATTTTCGATGGAGGCAAAAATGCTGTAAGCTTGTGTGCTCAGATTTGGGTGCAAGTTAAGGAACCCTAAGTGGTCGTAATTTTTGGAGCCCTCCACTACTGCATCTTTCATAATCATATCGTGGTTTTGTAATGATAATCGCCACATGTTATTATTATTACTTGCACAAGGATGACAACGCGAACATATGCATTGGCTACACCAGAAGCGATAAGCTGATATGGAGTGCTGGTGCTCGTGAGGATGGCCCTGGACAGTGCCACATCAATCAAATTGAGTGAATGGAACCTAACTACAATTGACGTTAACCTGACAGGATTGCAAGTGGGTGGGCAGGAGCCAAAAGTGCTTGCAGTACACAAAAATTCTTCGCATTAAATAACCGAAAATTCTGGGTCATCAAGGAAATCAAACCTGAGTCATTTGCGTAGCAAGCGGTTGTTCTACCACATAGCTACGTGTCTGCTTGGGAATATGTGAGAATAACTTTCTCTGCTGGAAAATGCCGTTAAAGTACCTTGCGTGGTTTAAAAATGCAAGCGTCCTGTATACGTGTTTCACAATACAAGATGAAACATTACAGTGATAATGTGTGCCGCAAGCGTACATGCCCATTGGGATCAGAACATGCGTTTATCATTACAACTTGATAGATTAAAGCCAGCCACTCACTACAAAAGGCATGCACATTACTGTGCCTATTTTCTTTATTTTATCTATTTATTTACACATACTACAGCACTAGGTGCACCATGGCAGGAGTGGTTATGCAAGGATACGAAGAAATATAAGGAAAGACAATGATAGAAACACTAACAGGTAACATAATATTGTCGTCTCGACATATAAGGCTAAATTAATACAAAATATTGAGAACATGAAAAAAAATATAACAAGCAAGTACCACTTGTATATAAATCAGTGTATCTTATATACATGCGTTGTGGATTTCGGCTGCGAAATATTGCGATGGGCATGAAAGAACAGAACCAAGTAACGAATTCCAGTCTTCTATGGAACGGCGGAAAAGACTGAACTTGAACATGTTAGTTCAAGCAAAATAAGGCCTCAAATTTAGGTTTTGAGCGCTTCTCGTCGTTGACTGTAGAGCGAAGTTTATGCGTTTCTTGTTGTTTGACAGTTTAACTGTCAAGAAAACGATACTTTGCAAGAACTTTAATGACTCTATTCAGCGAATGGAATGGAGGTAATTGCATTGAAGGTAAAGTAATAGAGGGCAAGAAATCGCGGTCGTAACGATGACACTGCTTATGCGGTTCCAGACAACCGACGTGTAGTCACTACAGGACGAATTAGCGATTGATATAAGAGGAGGTTTGTGTCTTTTGGGGAATTTGGACACAGTGTGGTATAGGTGGCAGAGTTTTTTTAATTCTTTGTTTCAACAATAGCCAATGTACTTGGCCCATGACATGTGATGTGTGAAAAGGACATGGAGGTACTTATATTCGGAAACCCTACTGACAGGACTGTTATCATAGGGTAGTAAAAAATGGTGGGTGGTTTATTACAAAAAGACGCAAGCATGATTTTTTAGAGGTAATATTCTTTTGCTAAGTTTTGTACTAATTGCGAAACCCAGCAGATGACTCCTGCAAGCGGTAGTGGTCAAGGTGTGTTTTAATAATTTCTTAATAAGTGCAATCGTTGACATAAAATTGAACGGGAAAATAGCTGTGAGCAAGCAAATTGTTCACGTAAATGAAAAGAAAAAGGCCCAAGAACCGACCCTTGTGGCACGCCTGATGTTACATTAATAACAGCACAGATGGTTCACCTGTAAGAAACAAACTGTGAGCGAGATGCCAAAAAGCTAGATGTACACTTACAATTGAGCATTGTTTGTTATCACGTTGTGTTTAGCAAGGAGTTTAGAATGTAAAACTGTGTCAAAGGATGAGCATATACCAACATGGCCGCCATGATCAAGGCTAAGCAAAATATAGTGCGTGAATTCAACTAATTGTGTTGTTGTACAGAAACCATGTCCAAAACCATTTTGTTTGTGAGATAGTCATCTGTTTGATTCCAAGGAGAGTATAATCTGTTAATGAGTGATATGTTGTAACATTTTACATGATTGAGAAGTAAATGATATTGGTCCATAATTTAATAAAGATTGCTTATCGCCAGATTTAAAGAGAGGGAGCCATCTTCCATGAGGAGGGAACAGTGCCAGAAAAGAAAGATTTATTCTATATGATTGTTGAATACTTGGATGACCATAGGAAGTAGTGAACTAAGAATACATTGTGCATCCCGTCCGGGCCGATGCATTTTTTACTTACAGTTTTAAGATAAGGCTGAGAATGCCTTCATTCGTCATTTCTGATTGTTTCAGAACGAGGAATGCCTGACAAAGAAGGAATGGTGTTGTTTTTAGAAAGAAATGCTGACTGGAAATAGGTATTGATGGCATTAGATATTGGGCATGAGGCCCACCACTAGAGGTGCGAGCGCTAGGAATCATTGTGACGTGCAGGGTTGGATCACGTGATGTATCCTCGTTGTGGCAAAGGAAAGCTAGTGCACTGTCAGGGCCGCTGGCCATGCCACTGTCACTTCTCTCTTTCTGTGTTGTTGTGGTTCTTATTTCGATCCTATGGGGTTCTTGTTTCGGCACGGGAGCCTCGTTCACAACAAAAACTGAAAGTGAAAACTGTCCGATTATGTATATTTTAAAATAGGACATAGATATTTACATGTGGGAGAAGTTACCGTCATTACATTCAAGAATGTGGGCCGTTGTCTGGATTGTCAGAGAGTCAAGATATAGCCCCGAAGTTCAGTTGTTCTCTTTATTTTTATTAAATTTACCCTTTTCTGGTCTATTTATTTGCCAGTTGCTTCTGCGTGTTTGGCCAGTACATTCGATGAAGCCTTATTTTTACTTCATACATGTGCCACTCTAGTCTGCTAAAGCTACTTCTCTTGCCAAGGTAGCCTAACCGCAGTCTGTGCCACTCCCACCCTCCTTTCGGGCTGTTCCGTCCATATGTGTGTACCCGACCACAAGCGTTCCCATCCGCCAGTAGCGTAGCTTTTTTCTCATGGTCTGTAGTGCAAAAAATAACGGTCTAACGCATCTGCCGGCCCGGGCCCTATTTTAAACAAGGTGGTGCCCCACTCTGAAAAAAAAAAAAAATTCAGCTCACAGGGTTCCTCGGTTATACATTATGTCAGTAGAATGAGCCCATAACCACTGCCACTTCCTTTTGATGTAGTTTTTATCTACAGGCAAAAACGTGTTTAGCTTTGAAAACTGATTCATCTTCTAAAAGCTGCCATGAAATGTCACGCAGCTCATGAATGAAGCTGTAAAAAAAAAAGAAAGAAAGCTGGACTCTGGCAATCTCACTGAAACATGAAATTGCTATTTAGATTACGATATGGAAGGCCTCGCAGCATGCTCATTCAAGGGTGTGAAATGATATGGCTGGCCTATTGCATTTTTAATCACGATTTGCCTCTTGGTGGAAGCTTTGGAACTGCACCAATCATTTATAATTCATTTTAACCTATGTCTGGATCGATGGCAATCGAATGTGCAACATGTGACCACCACAGAAAGTTAGCGCAATAAATATTAGGATCGTGCCGCAGAAAAAAGTTACAACTCTGAATAAGGCATGCATTTGCGGGATTCTCACGTTTGCCCACAATCATAACAAAAAAGTTGCAGCTGTAAGAATTCTGTGCTGCTTTTCACAAACCGGGGAACTTGCTTGTGCTGTGCTCTGTAGGGTTATGTGCGCTAAACAAAAATGTAAATTTGCGCATGCTTGTCATGTTAACCGCGGCCCATCTTTAGATGCAAACATACAATAGATGAAGTAGGGTAATTGCATGCATTTCTAGCAGAAAATATAAGTTTCTTTATCATTAAGACCTATTTAATGCTTCATTCCCGACACGGAATGACTCGTTACTTTTACAGAAGTAGCGTGCTCAGCTCCCGTGGTTTTCATTTCAGTGGTCATAGCAGATGACACCAGCAGTCGGGCATTATGAAAAGTGCAACGCTTTTCCATGGCAGTTATTTAGCACTTTGGAAAATCAGAAAAAAAATCTCCAGCAGTATTTTATTGATTTCGTTGAGTGAAGTACCAAAAGAATAATAATAAAAAAAGACGCAAAAACGGCTGCGGGCTGCACGCGGGATCAATCCTACTACACACGTCACAGGGATGCCTACGCGTGGTGGCGCCACGGTATGTCCTTGCGCCCAATATCTGGCGGGTCAGTAATGATGTCATTATATCTATTTTGAAAAAAGGTGAGGCAGCATGAGGCAAAATGGAACAACAAAATTTGTGTGGATTTATTCCCAACAGATTTTGCAACAGAATGCGATAAAATAAATCTTGCCGTTTTCATCATTGAGTTGAGTTCACACTTGGCACTCTGAAACCTGTCTAGGGCAACGGGATAATTAGATTTTTGGGAGCGCTTTAGTCAACAGACTGATAAATGCAAGAGATCTCGAGTAATCCATCGAAGATCAGCATTGCTTTTCTTTGTCTTGATTGACACGAATCATTGGATACATGACTTTACAAGATCTTCAAAGTAAATAACATGACAAAATATATGTTTTGACTTTCAGAAAGCGCACAACATGTATCAAACTGGGAAGCTAAAATATCGGTTGTGGAAGTGTCGTCAGCGCGAGGGAAATCGGTGAAGCTGGTGATTGTATAAGGTGATTTGGACAAAGGATAGCAAAGTGTTAACAAGATGCCTTTATCATCACAGAACCCTTCATTTTGCAAGAGAAGTTGCCTTCAGCTAGATCTGTTCTTAAGAAAACTAGATCTAGGATAGAATTGAGCGACGGCTTGAGTAAGCTTAAATGATAGAAAAATATTTATTAATTCATGGCATATTGCAGTATCCTGATCCGTTACGGTCAGAGAAGGCCAATGAATGTCAGGAGCGTTAAAGTCGTCCATAGAGATAAATCTGGATGAACCAATATTTACATTGCACGTGAAATTGGCAAGGACATGAAGAACTTCAAGGGATGATCAATTGGCAAGGACATAAAAAACTTCAAGAGATGATCTGGGTGGGTGATACACAATGCTAACTTCAGTACACCGAATAATTAGGTAGACCTTACATCAGAGGGATTCAGTTTCAGTATGCAAGGGCAGCACTGAAAACAGGATATCTGACCGGATAAGTTGTGCAACGCTGCCGCCAATGCCTTGTGTCCTGTCCTTAAGTACGGCAATGAAACGGGGTGGAGTAAACTCAAAATCGTAAATGTTACAATGAAGTCATGACTCTGTGATGCCAATGATATGAGGGGAGTAAGTTGCGACAAGGGACAATAGATCTGGAAGCTTTTTAGCAATACTACGAGCATTGACTTTCAGTACCTGGTTTTCATGAAGGCTATATTGAGATCATGGAGTGGATGAGCTGGGGTTTAAAGATGCGGGGATGGAAAATCGAGAGCCAGGTACTCAATCTGAGAATCTAAGACTTCACTAAGGGTTTCGAGTTGTTATCTCAAATATAACGTACATTGTGAATGAACTCATGATCGTATCTAGACTTCACCACAGAGCCGTTGTTGCGAAAATTAAGTTAAGCCTCAAATTTCTTTCTGTATGTGTCTAATACGTGCGAAAATGTATTCTGTAATAAACACGTTTGAGCCTTTCAGTTTAACTGCATTTTTGAGAACAGGGGCTTCCTCCTTCAAGGTGGTCTTGTATAGCCACTACGTACTTTTCCAAAACTGTGGGCACGTTTAATTTGTGGGCAGGTAATTTTCAGTGTATTGTTAAACAGAGAAGTTAACGCTGCATAACAGCGTGCTAGCATTTTTTACAGTATCTTCTAAAATGCTGTGTATTATCAGATTATTTCTCCTTGAACGATTTTTGAGGTCATAGTTTGTCAAGCCCAGTTCGTTAATTTTAGAAGTTAAGCAAATAATTTCTATATGTAAATTACTGGCATCACTGTGTTCATTAGAGCCAAGAAAACGTTACAATGCACTAGTACGCAATTCTAAAGCATCAAAACAACAAGCGACTGTTTGTTGAAATGACTTGACGTCAGCAATATCATTAGCGAGCTTAGTTTGCCCCTCCTAAAGGTTGGAGAACATTTCAGAGACAGACGGAAAAACATCCCCAGCAAGTGCGGAATTGGAGTGTGCATGAATTCTCGTTGAGAGCATTAGAATCAACTACATTGCTGGTTGTAGGCCTATTAGTGGAAGAATTGGTTTTACTGGTATTGGCTGATTTATTCGGATGCCCTGGATGCAGTTCCACATCACTGCTCAGAAGGCCATGACTATAACACGTGTAAACAGAAAAACACAAAGCTACGTGGTCAAGGAAGCAGCAGCAGAAAGCGATCATCAGAATGAATGCATTCAGCACTGTAAAGGTGACATACCTATAGATATAGCAAACAAGTTAACGTGCTGGTGCTGCTGTGATTTACCCACTTAAGACCATGCAAAGGGTGCATAGCAAGTTTGAAAAGATTTCATACACTAAGTGTTTGAAGTACGCACCAGAAACAGGTTATTGTTGTCGTGTTCAACTCTCAAAGGCAAAGTTCAGGTACCCCAATTTTTTCACTGCCCTTTGTTTTTATAGATTCATTCTGATCATTCCTTCATTGAGCTGGGAAACCTCAATAATGACACTGAAAATTTATTCTATTTGCTATAGTAGAGAGAGACACTGCTATTCAAGCGCATAGAACATGCAGTTGTACTTACTTGCTGGCTCAAGTCTCGCGTGTGTGTTGTCTTTCATTATTGCTACGACTCAAGAAAGTCATATTCTAAACGTCCCCCAATGTCTAAAAGAGAATGTCTACACATTTGATTGCCTGGCATCAACAGTTGATGCATCCATCTTTATTTAGCTACAGGGCCTCTGTTTAATATAATCTACCGACATCTAATCTACGACAGCTTTTACTATAATTATGTGATAAAGTGAAATTCGTGCTCGTATGTCTGTTTGACTAAGTGTCTGGAGCATTATATGGTGCATAGCTTACTTTTGTTTTATTCAATCTTTATGCTGTCTCTGAAGTAGTTTAGAGACAATAATGGAAATCGTGTAAACTGTGCACATACACTAAAAATCTTATACTTTTTCCAGTCTGCATAAGTGTACGAGCATTTCTTTCCACTAAAAGTGTGATATAATTTCTATCTCTTCCTTATGATTTGTATTGCTTTTTTATATTTTGCAGTTCTTTTCATATTGACCTTGTTCACTCATATTTCATTTCTTATGTTTCGTGCCTTGAATTGTGAAGGTGTTTGGTTACTGTGCAGCATTTTATGGATTTTTATACGGGAAAAAAGTGCAATAAATGTTTTACTGGGGGTATGGCCCAATTTAAGGGTGTATATGAAACCAGCTTTGTCATTTAGGTATAGTACCAGCATTACATCAATATTGTATTCGTGCACATTCACTAGCGGTCTTTCTATGTGTTGGACATAGCATTTACAGACAGAGAAAGAAACTGTAACCATGTCGTCGTGGCATGGTTATTGCTCCAGTATTATGTGGCTTGCTTTTGCGAAGGTGATTATGTATTTCATCTACAAGTGCAGTAATCTTTCTTCATTGCCTGGTGCTCTTGTGTAGTTGCACACAATGCATGTAAGGTTTTGATTGCCTCTATTTTCTCTCTGTGGTTTTGCAGGTTCCTTGTCTTCGGCCTCTCGTGAGGCGTATCATTCACTTGTGTCCGTACGAGGCGGACTGCATTCGTGTCGTCAGTGCAGCTATGCTACCAAGAACAAGGCCTTCATGCGAAGACACCTCTTCAAACACACGGGCGAGCGCCCCTTCCAGTGCCACCTGTGCCCAGCTGCATTTGCTCGGAAAACGAACCTCAAAAGACACATTCGTACGCACACAGGGGAGCGTCCCTTTTCCTGTGACTGCTGTAGTGCATCGTTCTCCCAGCAACATATCCTCATGAATCACATGCTCACACACACTGGGGAGCGTCCATTTCCTTGTGAACAGTGTAGTGCATCATTTTCACAGAAGGCGACCCTCACTGCCCACATGCGCACCCACACAGGGGAGCGTCCCTTTTCCTGTGACTGCTGCGGTACATCGTTCTCACTGAGCAATACCCTCAGGGATCACATGCACACACACACAGGATATCGTCCGTTTTCCTGTGACCAGTGCAGTGTGTCATTTTCACAGAGCGGAGCCTTCTTAGGCACATGTGCACCCACACAGGAGAACGTCCATTCTCCTGTTGCCACTGCAATGCATCTTTTTCACGGAAACATCATCTTGTAAAACATGTGTACTGTCAGCATACAAGAAAGTCAACATAAAAAGTGAGTTGTCTGCATGCACTTTCTTTATGAAAAATGCAACTCAAGGTTTTTTAATCTGTAGAACAGTTCTACAAAATTTTAGCTATTTGCATAACTTTTGATGGCTTTGTGTTGTACCATGACTGTGTAAAATATTGTTACAGTGGGTTCACTGGATTGAACCAACAGCAAAAAATGATTGAAAGGGTGAAGAGGCGAATGACGCGCAGTTATGGCACGTGCTTGTTGTCCGTCCCCTGTGAATAAACCGCTGTTCAACCTTGTTTACAAGTCACGTAACAGAATGGTCGAGGTGCTGGGTACCCCAAGTCTCTAACAACCAGTTTCCATCCCTTTGCGCTCATCGTAGTCCTCGCTTTGCGGGACTACCACTAACACAAACAGGAGAGATGCCTCTGAAACCGATTTCCCGAGGCCGCTGGCTTCTTCCAATTCTTACAAGGAGCCGCCAAGATTTGGTGGGACTGGCGAGAAGGCGTGGACAGGTGGTTGTAGCAGTGCAAGCGGGTGAGCGAACTTAACACCTGGGACTCCGTCATTCAGCTATCGTATGTCGTGCTCTTTCTCACCAACACTGCCCTCCTGTGGTACAACAACCACGAGGATATGCTCACCACGTAGGATACGTTTGTAGACGCATTGAAAAAGTGCTTTGGAGGCATCACTACGAGAAAGAAGCAGGCTGAACACACCATCTCTCAAAGGGCTCAGCGGCCTAGTTAAACTTGCACCACTTACGAGGAGATTCTGAAGCTTTGTAAAGTGGTTAACCTCGGTATGTCTGAAGAAGACAAAGTTGGCTATCTTCTTAAAGGCATAGCAGAGGATGTGTACCAGTTCTTGATTACCAGAGAACCTGTCATCTGTGGCCGACATCATGAAGCACTGCCATACCTTTGAAGCACTGAAGATGTGCCGTATAGCGCCGAAATCGGGCCGCTTGGCTAATGTGCCGACAGCAGCTTGCGTCGACGCCAACCCTCCATCTGACCTGTCATCGACAATACGACAGATATTCCGGAAAAAGCTTCTGTGGTGCCGTGAAATGAGCCATTTCAGCAGTGATGACTACTACCAAGGCAACCAGCCTTGACTACCTCCTGCCTCGTTCCCACCATCTATCAACGTGGCGAACATGGACAACTACCGAGCTGTGCTTCGGTCCGCACCGGCAAACCGACCTGCCTTCGCCAACGAGCAGCAGCCACGAAACACCTATGTCCTGCAGCGGTTCCACACTACTTACTCAACTACAACGGGAGACAGGTATAGGCCGCGAGATCGAGCAAAGTTGCCGTCTGGCGGCAACTGTCCAAAGGGTGAAGTGAGAATTGCTCCTTGCGTAGTCTTCTAACCAAGTCAGTGTTTCTATGTGCGCCTATGTGATGTATGTTCTCAAAGTGGGGTTTGTCCGGTCAGTAAACGCTAGTGTAACTGTTTGTACGTGTGCCTGAAACGACGTACAAAAAGCATTTCTTATTTCTTGGTTGCTAATGCATTGTAATACGATCGGTGAGTGCAACTTTCCAGAGTGCTGTTCATATTTGTTATACTTGCCATTGAGAGTAGATGCCGCTTTCTGTTTCAAGCACATCGCAAAATGCTCTTGGAATCCTCCAGAACATGAGCAATTATATTAAATGCTGTGTGAATGCAGCCTTTTATAGTGACTTGGTTGTAAAAAAAAAAAACAGGCTTATGGTCATGCACCTGCGCACTGTTGGTAGGTGTAAAACTACGACACTGTAGTTTATCGATCATGTGGGGATCCGTAGTTGTGTTTATATGACCGCGATAACACTACATAGAAATATTACTATTCTCATGAGGGGGACTGGGAGAGCAAGAGACACCCATCAGCTCCTCAAGCGGTGCTCATCGACGAGAACGCTGTCTGCATCCCACAAGAGCGCGGGAACACTCCCAAACACACTGCAAGGAACGCACAGCGGTGTGCCAGTGACATGCAGTCCGCATCGCACACGAATGCTGTGACACGCAGTCAACGTTTCAGGAGAAGGGCGTGCAGGAACCGAGGGGTATAAAAAGCGCATCGCATGTGCGCAGGGATGTTCTGTCTCGGTGGTTTTCGTTATGGCCGGTCGTGTTTGGTGTAAAGGTGCTTCTAGACGCCTAGTGTTCTTCACACTTGTAAATACGTAATTAAATTGTGTGTTTGTGCTTGAAGAAGCCTCACAAGGGTTCTTCCTTTCCCAACATCTGGGTGACTACCTGTAGCCCCGCTGCTCGGTCACATCACTATCACATGAACTGTGAGCCTTTGGTACTTTCACTGTTCTTAAAACAGAGCTGCCGTGCGCTACCATGTTCTTAAATTTAAGAATGCTTTGAGAGCCTAGACATTGAAAATTAATTCAGACGACATGCCTTATATATAATGTCGTATAATTCACTGAATTTTCATCATTTTACATTGTTTTCAGAGTTTTTGTGGCATTGTTAGTGACCGACAGAAGGCATGCAGTGGTAATTTTTTCTCTAAAAAAATAACAAATGCTTGTCTTTTTAACCAGGCCTTTGTTGTAACACTGTCATGCATGTAATCCATCGCTGAAAGCTTTCTGCTGAACTCTTACATAAAACTTTTACTGTTGCAAGAACATGTGCGTTCACGTGGTACATGCAGTGTAGCACAAAGTGCCCTCAGCCACAAAGCTTTCCTGACTATACTTATCTACTAGTCCAACATTTCATGGTGAACAGAATGAGAGAAAAAAGTTATATGCATATAAGGTGCGAAACGGTGGTACTGAAAAAATTGCACATTTATGCGGGCTTTCTACGATCTTTCTTCTTCTTTTTTGTAGTATGCAGATGACAAAGATGTAAATATGTAGTTGAGTCACGTTACAGCAGTGCATAGCAGGTGGAACACAAGCTAATCACGTACAAACAACACAGCAAAGGCGGGATTTAGTGCGTAAGTGTGAAGAGAGTCACCCAGGGTGAGCATCCCTACGGAAGGCAGAATGCGCTTTACCTGCAGGTAACTTTAACATTGCATAAGGGGCGTGCTTGATTCAGTAAAGAAGAGCATAGATATTAACAGTAAACATTAGTCAACGCATTTTATCTGCCGACAATCGGTTCAGACCGCACGCAATGAAGCCCCGCAGCGTGTATTTGTATACGTGCCGCCAACTACCTATCCACACTTGTGCGGGGACTGGTGCTGCCACCTATAGCCCGATTTCGCCAGGAATTGCAATAATCGGGGCAGATATCCTATGCCAGCAAACGGAAATGAGGGGTTTGAGCAGCACCGTGCATTTCTACCACCTCATGTGTGCTATAGCTGCGGCATCCCAGGCCACGACTCAAGATTTTGTGACCGTCGACAGCCATTCCGAGGAGCCCCTTCACGAGCTTTCTACAATTATAGCAATCGACTCTTTCCATCGTCATCGACACTTTTCAACGCCCAATTTCCAGTTGTCGATTTCGCCAAGGCAATTTCCGGAGCTCGTCAGCAGCCTCCGACCACAACTTAACGCCGCCACCTGCTCCCCGGTCGTTATCGCCAGGGCGTTGCTTCCCGTCACCACCACCTTCAAACTAGGCAGTGCAGGTGAAAAGGATGAGGTTGCTGGATACTCTGTGCTGTCAACCGTACCTCCGTCAGCATTCATGCTGAAAAAACAAAGTTCATCTGTGTGTTGACAGTGTCCCTATTATAGATATTGTAGATACTGAGCCTTAGTCTTAAAACTCCTCTGGGACAAAAAGTTATGTTTTTTCTGGAACAAAAAGTTGTCATTTTTAGTGTAAGTGGTGACACCTTGTGCCCGGTCGGCATTTGTACAGCAGATGTTTGTTCGTGTGGCAAAGTATTTACCACTGAATACGCGGGGATTCCTCGATCTACGCACGGCGTTATTTCAGGCCTAAATTTCTTACGGGAGTGTGGCGCTACAGTTGACTGTCGAAGTTGAGAGCTTTCTGTACACCACGAGCTTATGACCGAACTCCTAGAGAACTCGCCGTGTCAAGAAGGTGCCTTCTGTGTTGCCGAGAATGTCGCGATTCCTGCGCAGTGTAGGGTGTGCATTCCGGTAATTTGCTCTGGTGCAGCTCCTACTACATTTGACGCCACAACATGAACTCTAGACTCAGCTTATGTGAAGAAGAACATGTTGGTACCTCATTGCTTGTTATCGGTATTTGAAGGACGATCTGGATTATGGACGATGAATTACATGGCCCAGCCCATACTTCTACCTCCTGGTATGAAGCTCGCACTTTTCAGGGAGGGAACGCCGACTTTAGTTGCTGTACTTCTCGCCAATGCGAACGAGTCCTTGCTCTCGAGCTCTTCAAATTTGAAGCTTCTACTGAGGGTGAGCTAGTCCCTCAGCACGAGTGACCCCCACACGTTACTAGCCGTCTGACTTTTCGCAAAACGATAAGGCATTCATGATTCCAGCGTCTTGAGTACGCTATCGTATAAACACCGTATCAGTGCACCCTGTACGACAAAAGCCGTACCGAGTGTCACAAACAGAGCGTAAAGTAACTAGTAAGCAAGTTAAAGAAATGTTGCAAAAAAGGGGCATTCAAGAGTGTGCAAGTCCTTGGGCTCTGCCTGTCAATCTCGTATCAAAAGAAGGACGGCAGTTGGCGATTTTGTGTTGATTACTGCCAGCGTAATAGCCTTACAAAGAAAGATGTATACCCGCTTCCGCGCATAGATGATGCATTGAATTGTCTTCATTCGGCTTCCTACTTTTCTTTTGTTGACTTCAGATCCGGCTATTGGCAAATATCGATGCACACTGATGATAAAAAAAGACGGCGTTCATAGCACCCGATGGACTTATTGAATTTAACATTGTGCTATTCGGCTTGTGCATCGCGCTTGCCCCCTTCGAACGACTTATGAACACCGTTCTGCGGGGTTTAAAATGGGAGATATGTATATGCTATCTCAATGATGTTATTATATTCGGACGCACATTTCCAGAGCATAACGAGCGTCTCAGCATTGTACTAAGCTGCATACAAATGACTTGTCTTGTACTCAACTTCAAGAAATGTCATTTCGGAGAGCTCCAAGCCTTGGGGCTGGGCTATCTCGGGGACAAAGACGGCGTCAAGCCTGACCCTGCAAAGACTGAGGCTGTTGAAGCATTTCAGCCATACCAATCTGTGAAAGAACTCTGTTGCTTCTCGGGATTGTGCTCCTATTTTAGGCGATTCATTCCTTGCTTTGCTGACATCGCTTATCCCTTGACAAGCCTCGTGCACAGAAATGGTCCATTCGAGCGGATGCCTGAGTGTTCAGCTTCTTTCAGCAGCTTAAGTTCTTGCTGACGTCGCAGTCAATACTACGACACTTCAGCCCTACCGCGCCAATGGAGATCCACAGATGCGAGCGGCGTTGGTCTTGTTGCTGTGTTGTTCAACATTCAGGTAATAGAGAACACATCATTGCCAAATCATGACGGTCATTGAGTAAACTTGAGCGTAAATACACGGTAACTGAACAAGAATGCCTCGCGGTTATTTTTGCTGTTCAGCAGTTTTGATCATACCTGTACGGGCGTCAGTTTACAGTCGTCGCCGATCGTCACTCTGTGTTGGCTTGTCAATCTCCGCGATTCGTCAGGACGCCTTGCATGATGGGCTCTGTGTCCGCAAGAGTTCAACTTCACTGTCTCATACAAGAGTGGGCGACGACATGCTGACGCTGATTGTCTTTCCAGGCTGCCCCTCCTTACCACGTAATGTGACGCTGATAGCTTCAATCAGGAAATCACAACCGTACAAGATTTCCCAGATGCCGTAACCTTCGCGAGACGGTTGCGTGATGATCCAACTCTAAAACCGCTCTGCTGCGCTGCAAAAGACTCGTCAAACGGCCATTTTTGTATACAGGATATATTGCCATATAAAAAGAATTTCTCTGCCACAGGTGCATGCTATTTTCTGGTGGTGCCGGGAGTATCCGCTCTTTAGTTTTATGTATCGTGTACGATCATCCAGGTGCTGGTAACTTAGGATCTACGAGAACACTCTATCTCACCAAAGAATGATTTTACTGGTCCCAATCGCGCAAGACAACCGACACCTACC